AGGTAAATGAACAGCTGATAAGCAGAAGCTTGGCATGGGTGTCCGTAACAGTGCTGCCAACGTGACACAAACAACAGAATTCTAAACCGATAAGCCCGCGAGGTTTAAATTAAAAATTCCGGTTATTTTTTGATCATGGTAGTATTCACAATTCACCAATTAGAAACAAAAGAGCGGTAAAAATTTTGCGATTAGGTTTGAATTTAAAGCAATTAACTCGTTTAGCTTATTTAGAATGTTTGTTTGAAATTCGAAAGACAGCACATACACAATTGCAGTTTATTGCTGCTCGTTCTCATAGGTTTATAAAGGACTGTAGACTTTACAAATAGAAAATATGTCCTGAATAAAAACTGTAATTGAAAGCGCAAGAACAATAAAAATTATATAAGAAAATAGTTCTAGAGGGAATGATAATTCTAGAGCTCAAACTAATTTTTCAGTTTTCAAGAGACTAATTATAGACATAATATATTTACGAAATGATTATTGTAAGAAAGAAAAGATCAGACAAAAAAAAAGTGTTAAAGTCAAAAGTTAGAAAAAGATTCAAGTCTGGAAAGAAAAAAAAGTATTAGAAGTCCAATATTTAGATGGACTTTAGGTACTCTTATGCATTAGATTGTAAATATTACTCAAAAGTGAAGATAATATATACTTTGAAAAAACAAACAGAACAAGTTTCTAAAATAGTTATGAAGGAGAATGTGTTTACAAAAAGATGGCAAAAAGATGAATTTGAGAATCAGTCTGTTTCAATTATTTTATGAGAAAAAAAATGAACAGGTGACGTTCGTAAAAAAAGGTCTTTACTAAAACCCTTTTTTTATAAATTTATTTTTATTTATTCTTTATGGTCTCATTAGGACGCTTTGGTAATACAAGATGGAAGTTTGCATAAGAGACAAGAAGCTCTAAATTTAAAGTCAAAGTTTTCTTCAAATTATTGTTTCTCGTAAAAGAATTAAACAATTCTTATCAAATTCTAGAAGCTCATGATACTGGAGATTATTTTGAAATAATTCAACCAAGATATTTCACACAGAACAAAAACTTCATTAGATGTCAACAGCTTCATGCGATATCTAATACATGTCTAATGAGTTTTTGTTCTGTGTGAGATTAGAGAAAACTCGAAAACGTTTCTATTGTCTCATGTAAAGAAGATAAAGAATTGTAAATTTTGCTAGGTTTGTATCGCAAAGAAAGAAGAAAAAAATTTTTCAGATAAAAGAAAATCTTTGTTATAAATTTACAATGTGTGTGTGTTGGTGTGCCTTTTAAAAGATTACAGATGGATATACTATTGGGAGTACAAATTAGTTCGTCTTTCCAAAAGATGGCTCCAGCTGTTGTGAATGATTCATAGTGACAGCTGATTTTGGCGGTTTCAGAGAGATTAGACATCTGCTAATAATATTCAGTTTATATTGCCTTGAATTTTATACAAAAATCTTGATTTTTACTGTGTTTGAAATGTTGAATTTTGTGTTAACCAAGCAGCATTTGCGGGAGGTTTCAATTTTCTGCTTTAAGAGGGTACTGGATACCGACTATAGACACTTGTAAACCGACATTTCTAGAAGTCCTCTGGTGTCGTATTTACTGCATAAAATCTAAAATGCTTTTCCAGAAATAAATAAAATGTGCCAAAATTTATTGCTAGCTACTTGTGGTTGTCAAAAATAAACATAAATTTTTACTACTAAAGTTTTCTTCTATAACCTTATTATATATTCACGTGGCATAATTATTTAAACTTTTATACGTATTTAAACTTAGCTAGCAATAAAAGTACGACAAAAAAGAATACAATAAAACATTCCGATTATGATTGGAATGTGTAGTTGACGAAAAAAAGCGATTCTCGTGATAGCAGTATAGGTTATCATATGCTATTTATGTGAATGATAAAAAAAACATTATACTACTGTGATCAAAAAGTAAGGTGAATTTGTTTATAAAATGTAAATTCTTTATTTATTCATCCAAATCAATTTCATCCCCTTCAAAGTAATCCCCCTCAGATACAATGCACTTATGCCAACGCTTTTTCCAGTCCTCGAAACAGTCGGAATAGTCTTTTTTCGGTATAGCCTTCAAGACCTTCTTCGATTCGGTTTTTATCTCCTCAATCGTGTTAAAACGGCGTCCCCGCATTGGCCTTTTGAGTTTGCTGAATAGCCAGAAGTCGCACGGAGCCAAATCAGGCGAATACGGTGGTTGCGGAACGATATGAGTCGAGTTTTCGGCAAAAAAGTCGCGAAGAACCAATGCAGTGTGAGCCGGTGCATTATCGTGATGAANGAACCAAGAGTTGTTCGCCCATAATTCCGGCNGTTGCAGACGAATAGCTTCACGCAAACGACGCATAACGTTCAAATAATATTCTTTGCAAGCACCAATACGATTTGCAAGCACCAAATCTTTGATTTTTTGGACGTGGCCCTCGTCGGTAGACGTTGATGGTCGTCCAGAGCGTGGTTTGTCTTCAACGCGTTCTCGGCCCGCTTTGAACTCGTTGTACCACTTATAAACGTTTTTTTGTGCCATAGTTTGATCACCAAAGGCCTTCCGCAACATTTTCAACGTGTCCGCACAAGAATATTCGTTCCGCAAACAAAATTTGATGCAAGTTCTCTGCTCAACAAAATCACCCATTGTAAAAATCGAAAAATTCACTTTTGATTGTTTACAAAAACACGTGTAACTCGGAGATAATTAAACCTTTTGACAAACAGACGCTTGGCAAATATTATAGACAGTCCTACCAACCTAGGAAACAAAAATTACCTGCCTTCCTAATGCCCGGGAGTTTTAAATGACAATTTCACCTTACTTTTTGATCACAGTAGTATACCCATTTTTAAGAGCACTATGTAGTTTTTTGTACTTATTTGCTTCTGTAAAAACATTTTTCATGTGATGCAGTACACAAAATTGGAAATTAGAGAAATTTAGGCTTCTAAAATGTCGATTTACAGGTTTCTATAGTCGGTATCCAGTACCCTCTTAATTGGACGAAAAGTGCAGCTGAAGCCAATAATGATAGATCGGGCCGGCCAGCACCAAGAGCACCAAAGTGGTAGGGGCACGCACACAAGCGAGAACCGCCGTCCGTGTGCGTGACGTCACGCTCAGCTATTCGGCTCGTGGAAGAGCGCAGACATACTATGTTCTGCCTCGTTTCCACCAAGCCCGCTATGGGAGCAAAACACTGAGGCTAGAAATACATGTTTCACGTTGCGCGCTTAAAGCGTATGACAACGCAAAATGCTTTTCCAAGACTGTAAGTCGTGGAAAAAGTACATGATATTATTGATAACAATGAGTTAAACATCTCAAGATGCATTTATTATAATATTTTTATTTTTAGTCGATGAATATAATTAGTCGTATAGATCCGTTCGCTGGATGTTGTGCGGAAGAAATGTTTATACATGTATACACGTATGTATACCTATATATAAACGAATTCACATTTTTTATGTGAGTTTTTGAATTGTAATTTCGCTTGTGTGCGTGCCCCTACCACTTTGGTGCTCTTGGTGCTGGCCAGCCCGATCTATCATCTGGCTGAAGCCCATCGAATGCTTGTCGAAGTTTATGGTGACACTGCTCCAACTGATAAATCATGTAGGGAATGGTTTCGACGTTTCAAGGATGGAGATTTCAGCGTTGAAGACAAGCCTCGCTCTGGACAGCCAAAATATTTGAAGATAAAGACTTGGAGGCATTATTCAAAAAAGATTAAAGTCAAACGCAAAAGAAACCTGCAGAATCATTGGGAGTAACTCAACAAGCTCTTTCTATACGATTGAGAGCCATGGGAATGATTCAAAAACAAGAAAATTGGATGCCTTATGAACTAAAACCAAGAGACGTTGAAAGGCGATTTTTCACTTGCAAGTTGCTGATTTAAAGGCAACAAAGAAAAGGTTTTTTGCATCAGATTGTGACTAGAGATGAGAAGTGGGTATTCTTCTTCTTTTGCAGAAATCGAAAATTGGCTCCAAACTTGGATTGCCTCCGAATAGTTATTTTTTCGAGATGGAATTCGAAAATTGCCTGAGAGATGGGAAAAAGTAGTAGCCAGCGATGGACAATACTTTAATTAATCTGTTCATTCGTTTTATTTTGAAAGAAATGCAGTTTTGAACACAAAAAAACGGACCGAACTAATGTGTACTTCCAATAAATCTTTTTTTAATTTCTTCATTAAGAAATAAATATCTTCTCGTGATAATGGATTGCTTTTACTGGCAAACTAAATTAAATAAAATTTATCAAGATGTTAAGGAACAAATGAAAAATTCAATCAAAGATTTGTTATGATTAGAAGTCTAGGCACATTCTTTTTGACGTTAGACGAAAACTATGATTTTATAAAATGCTACGGAGCATAGAAACAATTCTTAAAATTACAGAAACATTAGAAATAGTCTTATAAAATAAAAAACTTGAGTGATGTGTATTGTATTCATCGCTCAGAATAGAGATGGTTTTTTATGTTATTTTATTTTAACGTGCTGTTGTGCAGTAGTTTTTAAAATAGAATTAAGTAAAATGAGGCCATTGAGCAATGTGTGATGAGACATCACTGTCATTGCTCAATGACCTGGTTAGGTTGCAGAGCATTAGTAGTTCTAGGAAGAACTGCTGGTTGCCACAGGGTGCGACACATCGCCGCATTGTCCGAAGTGCAACGCGGCATGTGTCGACACCGGCACCGGTAACTAGCACGGCCGTTGCTAGGACCGATGGGCCTGCTGAATCGGCGCGATCGATCTACTATAAATCGATCACGCGGATGAAGTAGGGCAGAGATCGTGATCTGACTGCTAAACTCACTGAGGCTCCGCAAGCCGGAGAGTGTACCGCAGTGAGTACCAAACAGCCGTGTAAGGAAAAGAACATCTAAGGAGCAATAAAGGATATTTAAATAAGTTCAATAGTAGAACTTATTCTTCTCACCAACCTCCTCGACATCCAACAGTACTTATGAGCGTGGTTCGATCTTTGCGAGTCACATTTTCATCCTCTTCTTTTCCACTATCTTAAACTGGTCACTTCTACTATCTTTTTTCACTATTCTCATGACGTGAGTGAGTATTGTGCAGTATACTATTACCACGCGATACACGGTCTTCTTTTCACAGTAAGCGTGCTTATCTGTGTCGGGCTCGTGTTCAGATGTTATGAGTTATGACTAAAGATCGCCTTTTAGGAAGGAGACTAATTCAAGATTACTCTCGAATTGTTTTAGAGGCCCAGTTCGTCAATCAACTAATTAACTCGATTGAAAGAAACCGGCCCGAAAAAATTCCTAAGGTATTCAATGGATTCGAACTCGGGATCTCCATGTTCGCAGAACATGCACTCAACCTGCGAAACCAGTGAAAGGTCAGAATAAGATTGTTCATACCGATAGGTTAGCTTTTTTTTGTGAAAGACAAAATCACACATTGGAGACCTATTGATCTTTAGAAATGTTATGTTAAATAAGATGCAGAACTGTTGAAAAAATAGGTGGCTCAATAAAATTATCGACTAAAATCACAAAAGAAAAAAATACAAGAAATTCTCGATAAAGCTATAAAAAATCAACGCAGGATAAGTTCTCATCTCTCTTTAGTTACCCAGCAAACAATTTCTGACTGCGCAGACCTTGGCAACAGAAACTGTGTGCAGAAACGCTACAGTACGGAAACATGCTTTGGTGCTGCAAAAACTGTTAGCACATACAGACAAAAAACGCAACAACTCTGTTAGCACATACATGAGACTATTGCGGCCAAAATGATTCTATATATGTTAGTGAAATTGATAACAAATAGATGGTCGATAGCAAGCAGATCTGCTTTAGCAATACTGTGACCAAACAGTCCGCAAAACCGTATGAGCATCTGTTTATGATAAAACGTTGACCGCAGTCGGGTCGATCTGTTGAACGCATTGACGACAGATTGCCACCAAACGCCAAGCAGATCTGTTCGTGCATATGTGCGGACTGTTTG